TCCTGCCGAGGCACGTCGACTAGGAGCTCCCCCGGGTCACTGCTTGGGGGCGTGCCTTTGGCCCACACCTCCATAGGCTTCGGACAGGGCCACCCTTCGCTCACTGGGGGGAGGTGATGGCGTTCCTCCCCACACACACATCCTCTTAACCCCTTCTTACCAATGCCTACCGCCACACGAGCAATCGCTCGCCGCCAATACTCTCATGCCTGAAACCAATCCCTTACACCCTTTGCTATATCAGTCAGCCACATGTCATTTCCCGCATCTGAAAGATGCACGCCATCAAGCCAAATATCATTTCCCGCATCCGAAAGATGCACGCCATCAAGCCGGTAGAGGGCCTCACAGTTGCCCGAGTGGTCAATGACCCACCCACCCAGGGCTGCCACTCTACGCACCACCGCCCGATCCAAGGATTTCCTAGCCCTATTTGTGGCTATCGGGCACCTGCTCTCTCTCCAAACCCGGCTTTCCATCAACAAGACTCCCTGCTCTTGCGGGGGCTGAAACCAGCCCCTGCTCACGTGGGGGGTGGGCGTGAAGCCCGCAACCCCACCTCCTGGGCAGGCCGGAAGTGGCTATGCCAACTAATTTTTGACTATTGCTAGAATAGAGAGAGTGGGGTTGAGGGTTCCCAGGTTGAAGAATTGGGGGCTTTGCCTGCTCTTGATGGCCTTGCCTTCCTTCGGAAGGAGCAGGCTCTCAGTCTTGGTCCCAGGTAGCTTTCATGGCAAAGAACTTTCCTGGACTTGGCCACTGAGACTCATGTGCTAGTAATCTCCATTTATACTTAAATACTTATTTAAAAACCTATCTTAGCCCAAGATATGAACTGAGCTACTACTAGGGCTGCCACACGTCTGGAATTTCCCAGACATAGCCGGAATTTGACAGTCGTAAACAGTGTCCAGGCAAAAATCGCTGAAATGTCCAGGAAAGTGGACAAAACTAGAAAAGCTCAACAACTTTTGTGTCTGGATATTCACTTTTGAAATACAGCAACCCTAATTACTACATATTTATAAATGTAGGTTGAACTAAAACATGTATTAGCTTACTCCTTTGGGTAGTTCTTTTGAGCCAAGAACTGTATTGCAAAATTTGGAGAAGGGGGCAGTCTGAAGACTCATTCTGTTCCAACCTACGTCTTAGTCCAGGCGATGTGGCTTCACTCTGCTCCCTTCTCCCCCCTCTCCACCATCCCCTGGGTCAGATGTGTCTTGCAGGTCACAGAGCCAAGTGGGATATACCCTTTCTTTATTTGCATGGGATTGGGGAACCTTCTTTGCTAAGTTTCCATTCTTTCTTTCATTGGCAAGCCTGCCATACTCACATACACACACAAAACACCTCTCTGCTAACCAATGACTGAAGGAATTTCACTCCTGTGGGAAGATCAAAATAGACTTTGTGAGCTGAAATAGAGGGAAAACTTCCTTTTCGTCTGGAGAGAGTTTCCAGCTGGCATTTCTAACTGTGGAATGAACTTCCTGTTTCTTCGTGGCTTCTTTGTTCTGAGAGAACATATGGCTGACTCTAGTTTGAAATATGGTTATCAAAGGACTGCTGGATTTCACGTAAGGCTATAGCACCCTGCCAACCATAAAGCATCTAAGGCCACGCTGGGAGATCGGGAACTTTGCCAAATTAAACTTTAGTTCTCCAGTTTTCTGCTTTTGTTGTTATTGGTTTTTTGCCCTTTTCTTTTAAATGCCATGTAAACTCTTATTTTCTTACACAAATGACTTTTTGCTGTTAAACTGCACGCTGTGCCTTGTAGGTTCTGATTCTGCCCTCTTACTCCCTGGAGAGTTAAGGAGTTCTTCTGACTCTTTTAAAATATGGGAATAGTGAGGCATCATCAATGGGCTGTTGGAATAAAAATGGAATGATGCTGGTAGATGGAGTTCTTGTTTTGAAAAAAAACAAACAGTTTTTGGCCATGTGCACTGGGAGCAAGAACAGGAAGCTGAAGCAGTAACTCCGCCCCACGCTCGGTTCAGGGTTGTCTCTACAATCTCAGGATTGTAAGGGGGGGTCCTCTTGGCCATTACTATTAATTTTAGAATAGGCACTTGCAATACAGTGTTGCTACTAGATCTGGCAGGGGGAGCAAAAACTGATGTGGAAATGTGGAGAAGTAAACTTTATACTGGAAAAATGAGAAACCAAATGAGAGATTCATCCATCCCTAATCCTGACAAATGTAAATTTGTAAAATTTAAATGTTACATACTAATTTTAACAGGCTCTTTGTGTGTTCATTTATCATTCCTTTTCATTTGAAAAATAAAAGAAACATTCATTCTGAGATCCTTCTGCTGTTTGAGGCTCTTCATGTGATCCGCTTCCCAATTAAATTAAAAAGAAAACAAAGCACAGCAATATTTGATTGGCCAGCCTGTTCACACAGGGGCTTCTGGGAACGCCACCCATGTTCAGGGCCGGCCTTATCATGAGCTGGCCTGTGGCGGCTGCCTCAGGCGGTAGGATTCTGCTGGAGTCCAGAGGTGACATGTCCTGCCGCCACACCCGCTGCTGAAGACGCAGCTTGGGAGATGCTGCTTAGGTGGGTGGCTTGGGGGTGAACTGGTCACCAAGGCACCCTCCAAAATGGTGCCGAAGCCTCTGCCAAGGCCCGTTGGCTCCTGATGAAGTGCCCATTGGTGGCCCACCGGCCTTGCCACCATTTTGGAGGGGCCTCAGCAGCCACTTCCTTGCCAAACCACAAGCAGTGAAATAGGACAAGCCATGCCTGCCCATGGCCTGCGCATTTTATGCTGACCATGAGAGGTTGGGGGAGCCAAGTAAAAGTGACAATGATCAGCTGTGTGTGGTTATGGGGCTGGCTGAGACCTGCTTGGGCTCCCTGCTGCTGCACCACCAGCTGAAACCTCAAAGGCCACACTGGGGAGGGAAGCGAAGGGTTGTGCTCAACCCAGTTATACTCCATCGCAGCAGACTCATTAAAGTTAATGAACCTAAGTTAGTAATGTGCCTTAATTTCTGTGGCTCTGCTCTGAGTTAATTCATGCGAGGGGTGGGGGAGAAATTTGGTTAAGTACACTAGTAGAAGCAAAGCTACCAGATCCACACTTTCTGAAGCCATACAGGAATTGAAAGACAGCCATCCTTTGAAATGTGTCCACCTCTGAAATTTACAGCACAATTCCAAAACCAAGCAATGTATACCCAAAAAAAGGTACACTTGGAGGTGAAATGTACATTAAAATGCATATTTATGTGAAAATAACATCACGAGTTCTAATAGGGGAAACTGGTTAGCAGAAATGTGCATATTAGACAAAATTGCATGGAAGCATGTGTTCCTTAGGATACACTCAGATGCTGATGGATTTTTATGGGGACTTAAAAAAAGACCCCTCAAACGAATATGGAAATGTGGAGACTAGAAAACTGAGAAACAGAGAAAAACTGAAGTTGACAGATTTTTCCCAGGTTTTATTCTCTGGGAAAAGCTGCTTTTCACAAAACTGGGTTTACTACCCATTCATTAGAAGGACGCGGGTGGCGCTGTGGTTTAAACCACAGAGCCTAGGACTTGCCGATCAGAAGGTCGGCGGTTTGAATCCCCGCGATGGGGTGCGCTCCCGTTGCTCGGTCCCTGCTCCTGCCAACCTAGCAGTTCGAAAGCACGTCAAAGTGCAAGTAGATAAATAGGGAAGGTAAACAGCGTTTCCATGCGCTGCTCTCGTTCGCCAGAAGTGGCTTAGTCATGCTGGCTCCCTCAGCCAATAAAACAAGATGAGCGCCGCAACCCCAGAGTCGGTCACGACTGGACCTAATGACCGGGGGTCCCTTTACCTTTTTTAGCCATTCATAAATTCCTCTGTTAAGATTCCTGTATGTTTATGTTCCTATATGGCAGAACATCAAGTGTACCTTGGTGAACTTAGACATGGTGCTGCCTCCCTTTTAGCCTCATGCCACTGTAACTTTTAGCAAATATGTAACCCCATGGAAAAAGCACTCCAGTTTATTTTGGGTGCCCACCAAGCCATTTGGACAAACTGAGCAGTGTTATAATTTAGGATTAGAAGATACTGTAAAGATACTTTCAACATGACTACATAATGTCGTCCATAAATTTCAGCCAGTATCTCTTCTTCAATGGGGTTGTTTCACGACAGACCGCTACACCTTTGCAGCATCTGTGCTACTGACTCACAAAAACCAAAAATTAATCTGTTTGAGTTGTGCAACTCAGAGTGGGTCTCCTGGACTCAAAGTTTTTAAAGAGTTTGAGGTAAAGTTGGTTCTGAGGTCCCCCCAGGATGAGGGACCCTGAAGCTTAAGCTTCATTTGTTTAATAGTAGAGCCACCCTTGACTGTGATTTATTTATTTATTATGCATTTTCCAATTTCCCTGTTTACACAACATATTTCACCATCCAACATAATTTCTATACCGACTTCCCAACCTAACCTTCCATGGCATTCTTGGTAGTCCTAGCTAAGCTGCATATCAGTTTATTAATCCACCCTGCTGTTCTCCTTGTTGTCCCACCTTGTAGCACCCTCAACTGTGATTGCAGAGAAAACTTTCTATATGCATAAGTCTCCTTCACTGGATTGGAATTTACATCATCACCTTTTCTTGTGGACAAGTAACAACCCACCCCACCCCCGCAAAAAACAAAAAAACCACTCCTAGAGGAGTCCAATTAAGCTAGTGGGGCATGTTCAATCTGAACAAACTCTTCATAGTGAATGCTTTGGGTTTTTGCTTTTGTAAAGATGGAAAGAAAGAGAAATACTACAACTTACAGATACAGACTTTATAGATGTTGATACAGTTTTCACATCTGCATTCCAACAGAAGTAAGAAAAGAAGTTGAGGAAGCAAGGACATCAGCATGACCATTACATTTCTAATGGCATCTCTTTCAAACTCTCCCACACGTATATTATTTGCTTTCCCAATAAAAGTGTGTGGCAGACTCTGTCCAAGGAAAAGACCTGGAAGTGTTCCTCTCTTACAAACCTGGCGTATTGGTAGACTCCTGCTGGGATGCTAAGGCTGAGGTTAGCCGGCTAAGAGCCCTTGCAATGACAGAAAGGTGGTTGTTCATGGTCTTCAGCTCTGCCAGGATGTCCCCTAGAGTTGCAGGTGCCTGCTCAGAAGGTGGGGGAATGGCCGGGAATGACGGTGGAGGTGAGAAAACGGATTCAGGAGGCTGCTGCTTGATGAACCCTGCCTGGACACTTCCTCCTTCGCTAAGGGCAGGCAGATAGGTGCTTCCACTCCTCTTCACATGCTCCGTCTCTGTGGGTGGCTGCTCTTCCTCCTTCCCCCGCTTTGTGCTGGTCATCACTGAAGCGAGGTATGGAAGCCAGTCAATAAGGTGAGGAGCAGGGCTGGGTGAAATGGCTGCCCCCGCAGGGGAGCAAAGGCTCGGTTGCAGAGCTGAAGCAGAGGCAGCTGGTGTTGCAGTGTAAGAAAGCCCAGGATTCGCGGAGGAGGTGGAAGCAGAGGTTGGGTTCAGCGTGGCAGAAGCTGTTGTTCGCAGTGGCATTTCAGGATTCAGGGCCATGGTGCAGGTGGACAGTGGTGGTGAGAACATGGAGGCCTCGCAGCCATAGGGAGGGGATGGTGAGGGAGGAGCTGTGAGAGTTGCAGGATCTTCAGAAGATGATGGTGAGGCAGTGGCAGAGGGGGTTTCAGGGGTGCAAGGTTCTGAGTCTGCAAGAGAAACAACAATAACCATGCAAGAAAAACAATAATGACCATGCAGTATAAACAGAGGTGGGGAGGGACGCCACTGGCTGGATGGAAATAGAAAATCTGAGGTGTATGTTCCTAATATCCTAGCCTATCTCTTTCTAGTTCCATTCCCCTTCCCTTAAATGTGCTCCCCTTGCTAAATTCCTTGTTGCTAAAAAGGACTGCAGCAGCTTATCAGAACTAGGAATAGATGTGCAAGTCTATATATGGTCTGTTTCAGTTTTGCATGTTTCCATTCTATCCCACTTCTGCATTAATATAAGTTATTAAAATAAATTATGTATTTTATCTCAGTGTCTGCAATTTAAAACACGTTTTATTTTAAAATGCTAATTTTATGTTGTTGTTGTTTTTACTTTTTAGAGTCAATAACCAAATTCTAAAATGTGTACAAAATTGAAAGGATAATTATGTTCTGATCCATAGTAAGGTGTGACTTAAAAATTGTACCTATCCCTAGGACAAAATTCAGCAGGTGTGAGGCTCTCCCTTACCTCTGCGCTCATTAAATGCTGATTAGAAAGTTGAACATCACACCTTTATGTAGAGAGCAACGAAAAGTAGAGGGTGCCACTGTGAGGGGACGTGGTGTGACCATAATGAAGAAATCCTGCACTTTTGAATTTGCCATTACTCTACTGTGTAAAGTGAATACTGCATAAGAAAAGCACATAGCCCCAAGGAATCCTTACCTCACATTTTCAAATATAACCCCACTAGTTTCTAGCTATGCAAAACCCTGCTTGCTTAGGATTCAGCTTCACTGACCTTTCCTTGTTTTGTGCCCCATCTATGGTTTGGAACATGGTGGTTGAAATATAGAAATTTTACTATTTCTCTTCCTTTGCATATTCTTTTTCAAGGTCTGGCATTGCTGTGAACACCATTAATCCATCGCACAAGGAAGGGGATAAGCTGGACTTGCTTGGGCCAGGCCAGGCCATCAGCTTCCATTTGACCAGTCCAACCATTCTGGGCACAGGGAATATGCAGAAGTGTCCAGTCCAAATTGGCAAAAGGTGGATAAAGGGTAGAAATCAAAAGAAAAAAGAGAGCAAGGGGCAGAATTGAGAAGAAGAGGAAGGATGAGCCACTTAAAAATAATAACTGATTTAACGAAGCTGTAATTTGAAGAATGATAGGAACAGCAACAACAAGCCTCTTATCCTGAAAGGGTTAATTTGTTGTGTGCTGTTCTCAGCTTATCCTGATAGGTTGAAAAGCTGGTCCTTTGCACTCCAGACCAGCACAGAGGCAGGAATCCCCGTTCCAACAAAGGCATAGTGAACCACACACTATTGGATTTCGTTCATCCATCACTAAAAGCAGCCTTCTGCCTGAATTTTAACTCTTGATCTGTTGGGAGTTAATGTTTTGGTCTGCCTGCTTTCATTGCATCATTAATTTTATCTAGCCTGAAGTCAAATCACCTACAGCTGTAGTCTGTGCATATCCACGAATGAGCTCTGGCAGAAAGAGGCCCTTGCATAAAATGTTGGGAGTTGGGACGTACTGTGGACTTGCCATCTTGACAGTAGCAATGCACAAATTCAGAAATAGAGGTTTTTTCATTATCGTTGCTCATTGCTATTACAATGCAATAATTTTGGAACACACACACAAAAATATGTACATTAATTTGCATATCTTACTGTATGGTTAGGAAGAATCATCAAACAAATGCAGTGTTACCTTTTTGTACCTGCAAGCATTAAACTGAGTAACTGTGCTCACTCTGCAAAGCTTACTACACACAAAGTAGGAGATGCTCACAGACAGGTGTTTTATGCTTCTTCTTCTTAAGTTCAAAGCTCAATGTCACTGTTATAAAAACTGTGATGACAGCTAATAGGAAACTGTTGGCCCGAGAGAAATAAGCAAAGAGTATCATCTATTTTCAGCAACACTTCCGCTGATAGCAGGTTAAAGTCTGCCCCCTTTCTATCTGCTGAAGACCCCTCTGCAACTGTAGGTACCACTGTGAACTGCAAAGGGGGTAGCAGAGGTCCAGGTAGAGGGTCCCCCAGTCATGTCCAGTCAAAGGGGCAGGTTCTGCAGACATAGTAGACGGTGGCTGCTGCAGAGAAGCCATATAGGAAGCTATGTTCTTTTTCTATGCTACTAGCAGCAAAGTCCAGTAGAAACCCATCACGGTGACACTGTTACCCTTTCGGGTGAGAGACATCGCCCTGCAGCTGGGGGCTCTTCAGCGTATCCTGCCACTTTCTCCCTATAAACAACAGGGAGAAACCTGTTGTTTACTACTGAATCAGAACAAATGTCAGTAGACCTTTTGGACCCGTGCTTTCTAGGTGGCAGTTGTAGATGAGCCCTGAGTCTTGATGAAGCATTATTCCTAGTGAGCCCTTGTGAAAGGACTGCTATCAGTTGTTAAACTACTTTTTATTTTTTATTTTTAAAGGTTTATCCAAAAGCCACTGTGGCTGCTCCACTTGTCCAGGTAAGCCCCCCCACCCACCAAAAAAACTCCTCAACATCCCCCCCCATCCCTGCCCCCCCCCCAACTATGGTGGACAAGTGATCCTGATTCAGCCAAAGCTAGTGTACCAGATTGTCAGGGAACTGCCATCGGTTCAGGAGGGAGAGAGCAAAAGCCGAAAGGATTATAGAGAGCCTCCAGGGATCGTGGGGAGTGAACACGGCTCCAGTGGAGAGGAGGTGCAGGAGTCGGAAGTGGCCAGGCGGTCCCAGGAGAAGCGGGGAGGAAAGGGGTCTTTCGCTGCACACGCCCTCCTTACGCAGAAAGCATCCATGCAGAGAGGGGAGGCGCAGACTGGGCGTCAAGAAGCTGCTTTGCTGGAGAAAGTTTAGGAACCGCCCACTCACGGATTTTGCCAGCGAGGAGAGTGGGGCTCCAGACAGATAAGGTTTATTTTGGCAGAGCGTGTTCTCATTAAAGGAGAGCACGTGTTGCGGATGGGGCCGAGCAAAGCACCCCATAGTTGCCAGGCAGGATAGATTGAAGGGGCTTGGATCGGATTGGTGGTATGTGTTACTGGGGTAAATTTGATGTTGCCAATTTAGGGGTGGGAACAGAGGTTATTTAAACAAGGCTCACAGCATGTTCCTTTCTCTTTCGCTGTGGGCACCGGATCACCCGCCCGCCCTCCCTTGATTGGGCTTGTGCTTTGACCTTGCTATGCCTGTCATGGGGTTGTCCGCATTGGTGCGGGGGCCTGGTAGGAATTTTTCCTTTTGGCTGATTAGTGTGTGCCAATTGGTTTTTGCCTACTGCGTAGCAAATCGTCACAACTTGTAAGGTTGGTGGTTAGGCATTGGTTTAAATTGGTTGGTGGAGGGGTATGGCTTGGCTGTGCCTGCCCCTCCAATGCTGCTGCTGCACGGGAATTCCGTTAAAGGAATTCAGGGGCTTACCATCCTCTCGTCCAAACCCCTGGAATTGGGTGCGGGCCGCGTAAGCTCCTGGGAACATGCGGGGAGAAGCTGAGGGTCTGTGTCGCAGCTCCAGTTATCCCTGATCTTGTTCCTCCACACTGGCTCTCGCTGGAATCCGGGAGTCAGTGCTGTCCCCCAAGGCGGGGGGACAGCTAGTCATAACCAATGCCTAAGCAACCACTCACAACTTGTATTTTAATAAAGTTGTGGCCAAAATTATGCCAAAAACCTTAAACAAAAATTATGTGTGATGTGTGAGTTATTGGGGTAGGGGTGTTTTGGGGACCTCAGCACGCAACAAGAACAAGGCTTCACAGCCAAGCAGGGAGATATTTGCCTGCTTGCTCTCGAACAACCCCTTGGAAACATAACACAGATGAAGCTGACAAAAGTAATTTCTAATCATAAAGGTCACTTGGGTCTCTGATGACAAAGATGCATCTAGGAGTCCCCCCAGGTTATGCACTTCCTCCCTTAGTGGAACTGCAACCCCATCCAGAACAGGCAATTGGTCTCTCTTCTGGATATGGCAATCCTGTACACACAGAATGTCTATCTTCCCAGGGTTCAAATTTGGTTTATTGGCCCTCATCCAGTCCACCACAGCATTAAGGCACTGGTCCAGGGCTTGCACAGCCTCTCCCAGTTCCATCGTTCTGGAAATACTGAGCTACGTGTCATTAGCATACTGATGGCAGCATGCTGCAAAACTTCTAATGACTGCTCCCAGTAGCTCCATACAGATATTAAGTACCACCACTGTGAAGAAATGGTTAGAGGGTTGGACCTGGGAAATCAAGGTTCAAGTCCTTACCCTGCAGAGCCCCATAGCACAGGTGATGGGGATCGAAGAGAACTCCCTCCAGACTTGACCATGCAGATAGGAAAGGAGTCCTTGTAGTGCAGTGTTTCTGATACCCATCCAATTCAGTCCAGAAGGAGACCATGGCCAATAGTATCAAAAGTGGCTGAGAGGCCAAGTAAGAATCATAGAATCATAGAGTTGGAAGAGACCACAAGGGCCATCGAGTCCAACCCCCTGCCAAGCAGGAAACACCATCAGAGCACTCCTGACATATGGTTGTCAAGCCTCTGCTTAAAGACCTCCAAAGAAGGAGACTCCACCACACTCCTTGGCAGCAAATTCCACTGTCAAACAGCTCTTACTGTCAGGAAGTTCTTCCTAATGTTTAGGTGGAATCTTCTTTCTTGTAGTTTGGATCCATTGCTCCGTGTCCGCTTCTCTGGAGCAGCAGAAAACAACCTTTCTCCCTCCTCTATGTGACATCCTTTTATATATTTGAACATGGCTATCATATCAAGCAGGGTTGCACATCCCTTGTCTCTCTCCTGATACAAGTCATCCATCAGGGTGACTAAGGCAAATTCAGGCTTGAAACCGGGCCTAAACCCATACTGAAT